ATATCCTCACTAGCAATGAGTAAGAATTCCTGCTTCCTTTGAGCCCCTCTAATGCAGCATCCTAAAACATTTTTGAATCTTTGCCAAGCTGATAATTGAAAAATGGTATGTTGTGGTTTCGTCTGCATTTGAAAAATGGTATTTCATTGTGGTTTGATTTGCATTTCCTTGACTATTCCTTTTGCTTTGAATCATATATCTTTTGTTTATTTTTACAGAGGTTTTTTTTATTTGTAAAAGCTGTTTGCTCATTAAGAAAACTAATGCTTTGTTACATTTGTTGCGAGAGTATTTACCCAGTTCGTTGTTCAATTTTTGAATTCAGGGTTATGGTATTTTTATGATTCTAAAACTTTAATTTTACAAGTAGAAATGTATTCATTTCTGATGGTTTCTGGTTTTGTATCTTGCTTAGTTAACATCCTCATCATTGCAATTATGTTTTTCTTTTTTAACTTTGAATGTTTAATTCTTTGATCCATCTGGAAATGTTTTGGACATAAGGATTGAGGTAGGTATTTAATTTGATATTTTAAAAATCTTAAGCCACTTATAAAACTTTATCACCCCCCACTCATGATATATCATATATCAAAATCCTATGTATTTTAGTCTATTTCTTGACCTTATTCTGTTCTATTTTTCTGCCTGACAGAATTGAATACTCTTGTTTCTTGTAGCTCTGTAATATATTTAAATATACTAAAAGCTCTTTCTCGTTTTTTCCTTACTTTTAATATTTTCCAGGTATTCTTTCATGCTTATTTTATCATAAAATCTTTAGAATTAGCATGGGTAGTCATTAAAAATTAAAATCTTATTGCTGTCATTGTGGAGATTGTATTAAATTTATAGATCAATTAAGGAGAAATTAATGCTTTTTAAAACACCAAGGCATCTAACCACTTTCCAATAGAAATATAACCTTCAATTTGTTAAATTATCCACTGATGGTCCTCAAAATCATTTTGAAGTTTTCTTTACATGGATCTTGTACATTTACTAAATTTATTCCTATGTATTTTATGGTTCTAATTTATATCACAATGGAAATCTCCTTCAAATACATGTCTTATGTAATGTTTGTTTATATATAGAAAAGCATTGATTTTGGCGTGATTTCAGATTATTACTTTTAATAGTTCTTATGTTTTTATATGCTTTCCTTGGATGTTCAAGATTCAGTCTTCTACAATTAAATGATAAATTTAACTCCTTTATAACTTCTATAACTCTCATTGCTCTTGTATAACTGCACTGACACCTTTCTCCAGAAAGGAGGATAATTGTGATGTATTTCTGACACCTTTGGCCATTCAGAAATTTTAAACCTTTACGTAGGAAAATCTGTCCATCTTTTCTGTCAGAGCTTCTGGGTTTCATGTCTTGCTTTGGAGGATCTTTCCCAGTCCCCAAATGCTAAAGACACATCCTGTATTTTCTTCTAATATTTTATAGTTTTCACTTTTATATTTAGTTCTTTAATCCATCTGGAATTTATTTCTATATATTGCGTGAGATAAAAATCTAACTTTATTTTTTCCAGATGGTTCACAAAATTCCCCAACATCATTTATAAAATTGGTCAGTCTTTCCTCGCTAGTTTGAAATGCCACTTTAGTCACATTCTAAATAGATCTGTTTTTTAAAATCAAAGCTTAAAAACGAAATGAAACGAATGACAGTAGAGAACAAAGACAAGAAATGCAGACAAAAAACAGACATCAAGATAACGTTGTACACAAACTCTTTAATGTATATAATAAAATACAAAGGTCATTCATAGCAAAATAGTATCGATATAAATAATTCAGAGAAAATATTCTCACAAAATATTCTAGAAAGGATTTAAAGGATGGACACGCATAAAATATAAGGCTGCAGCAGTTGATTATTCGAACATTGTTTAAAGTTCCTCCCATCATATGGAATGTTATTTGAAGCCTCAGGGCTATAAACGTCCTCCAGCTGCCTAGTTTTACCCCCAAATCAGAAATTTGCAAGAATGGATCAGAATGGCCAAAAGTAAAAAGAAATTAGAAACAAAACAAAACAAAACAAAAAAACAAAACAAAAAACCCCAACAATCCCCCAAAACAAAACAAAACAACATAGCAATCTCTTCTTATAATTCAAGATTGTTTGTTTTTTTATGTATGTCTTTAAGGCTCTGCAATAAATTTCAGCATTTCACTTTCCAAGGGCCAAAGTAGAGTGAAGGTGGACAGACGCTTGACCTTCTGCAATTCTTTCTCTCTGTCAACAAGAGACTGGATTAAGAATCATTGAAATTAAATGCCAAAGGGAATAGGGGTCCGTGTTGAAATCTGAAACTTGGGAGGAAACCTAAACCATGTGCACCTACAATGCATGCCTTTCCGGGGCTTTGGAAGCTTTCTATTAAATCACGAATTCACAATTAATATTACAGTAGTGAACCCAGTGCTTCTTGGCTGTGTCTTTCTGGTCTTACAGGGCCTGAAGTGCTGCGACATATTAGTGGAAGCACGACAAGCCCAACTGGTAAATTTGTGTAAGATTCTTCATTTTGGAAGGTTAGCTAGAATGTTATTGGCCAATACAAATTTTTATTTTCCTATGTTAGCAGTTCCAGCTTAAATAAAAATTCACAGACTAATGAAAGATAAAGACAGTTTACAGATCTTGTAATGGGAAGTCATGTCCTTTGGGACTCATGTAGTCAGGGTCAGAAGAAAACCCATGCCATGGTTATAAGGTATGTTTCCATGCAGCATCATTAAAACATGTACTCTGTGTTTCCCCACAAGTAGAATAATATGTTTTGAGGAAGGACATTTGATTGAGCTGCCATCAAGCATTTAGGTAACAACAACCACAACAATAATGACATCACCACAAACGTGTTGTGGGTCTGTGAGCGTAGAGAGGTATGGCCTGTGACACGTCGTACATATGATCTGAACAGTTATCTGATTACACATACCATGGAAGCAGGTCCCGGGACATCAATATACGTATGGTAACTGCTGTTCTAACCATTTTATAGCAAATGCTGGGCTGTTTTCAAACACTGCAGTGTTTAGCAATCCAGATTAAAAACAGACAATTAACTGAATACAAGTTTAACTCTTTTCATCTGGGGTCCTAGAGACACAACCTGGATTTAGGTTTTGTTTTTAAATAAGCTAAATGACTACAGATTTTTTTTTTCCTGCTATAAAAATAGTTAGTCCTAGAGAGTAGAGGTACCAGCAGTTAGGTTAATGAATGATGCCCTTTGCAGATTTTCCTGGAAAACCTTGTCGAGCATGTGTCTATTTCTGCCACCATTCATTGCTGAGATGGTCCTCCGTGCTCTTTGCCTTCCTGGAACACTAAGTAAAGCCAGACTCTGGACTTCCCATTTCCCAGGCCTTTGGAGGAGTGCTAATTACAAAATACTTTACTGAAACACTAGGAACTCATTCACGAAGCCAAGCCAAGTCTCAGATTTGAAAATGTTTAAAAATATCCTTGCAACAGCCGTACTACTTTATAGTTTATCTATTTTTAGATGTTCAATGTTTGTTTTGCTGGAAGAAAAAAATTAAAACATGAAAAGTATGCCATGAGCAAATCTGCAATAATAAGCAGCACATACATGTTGTGGAGGAAAACATTAAACATAAAATAGTCAACAGAAAAACAAATTCTGCTGAGGCGTTTTTATAAATAGTAGCACTTATTATTTTGCTTCCAATTGCTAAGCATTTTAAATAACATGCCCTTAAAAGTTGTCAAGTTCTTTACTTTATATAAATATAATTTCCTGATCTTAGCATTCATAAAATTATTATGAAAATTATAAATGTATTCCACTCATCTCATGTGTAATTTTACAATCATCATATTGTTAAAATTAGAAACACAAGGAAGAAATGGAAGAAATAGAAACATGCTATCAGACGCTGAAAAAGCCAGGGAGTAGAAAATATTAATTTCTCTGTATAAAAATAGAATTTGCCTATGAAACTTTGAATCAAATATTTTGAACACATATCCTGTCACACATATTTATAGATAAAATTGTCCCCATTGGTTGTCAAATGGTCACACCCAATTTAAGGTCTTACTTGGTCTTACCTTTCATGTCCTTTTGAATTCCTCAGCATAATAACAAGGAAGAATTATGCTTTGAACCCTGAATAAACAGCTTCAGTACTGCTTGCCTCAAATGTAATCACTGCTATACAGTCAGGTAAATTTTCACACTGTATCTTTAACAGCAAAAATCATTTTAAAATGTTCTGAATGACCTCCATCTGGAAAGTACAGAGGTATGTAAGGGGAAATTATGGCTGTTTCAACACTGGGGAGGTGAAGTCTTAATGCAGGAAAGAAAAGCAAATTTCCTGATTTCCACAATGCCGTGGCGTGTTCTGCGCCCCGTCACCAGTCAAGGGCTGTTGGCTGCGTGTCGGGCTGATGCAAGCCTCCATCCCTGACACCTTCCCGGAGACCAAAGGCCGACTCAGTCTCCCATAGTGGCAGTTTGGAGGAGTTCCTTCTACTGCTGGCCAGCTCCAGAAACTAGGGTAACACTTAAAGGGCTTGAAACACCTTTACTCCCTGCTTTGGTGCTTCCTTGCATCAGCCCACATAATTTGACTTGGCAATACAGAAAATGGTAGGGTTAAGAAAAATACTGACGAATACCGCAAATCATGTTTCAGAGTGGAAATTGTGACTTTGTTAGCATTACCAGTATTTCCTGCCTCACAATCAAAATGGCTTGCTGTGAATTTTGCAGTGCCCAAGCCAAAAGCAATAAAATTTCTGTAAGAGCATATGCGCCATGACAGAATACCACATCAGCCCAGAAAAATGATTTTCCTGGGAAGGTCTGTGCAGCAATGGAGAGGGCTCTCAATGCTATGGAAGCTGGGCAGAGATTTTCACTGCTTCCAGCTCACAGTGAGGTAATTTTAAAAGCACTTTTCCCTTCATTTGTTCTGCATTCACTGAATGTACATTTTTTGATGTCAGAGACATGGCAGAAAAGATCAGATGAGATAGTCTGACAATGGAGCCAAAGTTCAAAGCTTCTCTATTTTCAGGTAACAGCCGTGACAGTTTGTCTGCACTAAATCTTTTGAGGGCATGTCACTGTAACCCTGTCCATAGCTCTTCAAACAGTTCAAGACAAACAAATCACTTCGTCGTTGAACAACTATAACATCTGATACAATCGCACAGAAGTTGTAGCGATAGCCACTAATGAAAGTTCTTTCCGTTCAGTTGAAAAAAAGAAAATTCCTCAGCTTTGGTTTAAGATCACTTTTTATGTTGTTCTTTGGAAAATTATTATATGCCAAAGTTAAAAAAAGAGGGAGAGAGAGGAGATTCTGTCTGTAAGAAGGACCAGAAAGTCAAACGTTCTAGCTGCCGGCCGCAGTCAGTAAGGAGCTACGGGGTGGATTGAGAGTCCTCGGGGGTGACTGGCAAGGCCTGCATGGGTACCCCAAAATCCCCCTTAGAGCCGCTCTCCGGATCTCCTGTTGAGAGCCCACTGGCAGTGCGTTCACACGGGCAGAGGTGCTTTGCTTTCAGGCTTCCCGGCTGACGTAGCAAGGAAGTGCGGACATCCATCGCCAACACTACCAGGCGGTAGAGTTGTAACACCACCACAAGGAAATTCTTGGCGGCAAAGAACACCAGCATCTGGTTTATCACTTTGAAGTAGGTCATCAATATGAGACGCACGACGAGGAAGGGGCCGTCTTGTATGAAGATGCTGATTCCGATGTTCCACAGATCGGCGCTGTATTGGCAAAAGAAGAAGCTGGGGAACCCCCTCATTGCCACCGACAAGGGGCAGACGACATGCTGTACTGAGAACACAAGACAGACCAATTAGCGCCCCTCTGAAACGTGTAAGACAGTATGAAATGGGGACAAGTCATCAACCATGGGTGTTGTGCTACTTAACAGTTGGGAGTGATTCTATAATTTAATTCTGGGGAGGGGTGAAAATGAGACCACCCTTAACACTGAACACCACCCTTAGCCACCCCTTAACCACTTAACATCCTTGGTCATTTTATGTTTAAAATCAATATTTTGTTGTAATTTCAATAAAACACACCAAAGAAAGCCAGTCCTCAGGTTTCCCTCCATGTCACAAATTTTAGATCACCTTCTAGTCCCCATCCTGAGGAAAGCACAAGCAACTGGGCTAGAGAGAATGAAGAACCAGAGAAACCACCTTGACTGTCCCTGGGTTCTGCGGTGTAGAGAGAGAGCACAGCAGGGCATTTTAGGCCTCAAGCCAGGTAGCCTGGCTGCCTCGTTTTTTTTGTTTTGTTTTGTTTTTTGTTTTGTTTGTTTGTTTTTTTTAGCAAGATGCTGGCCAAGTTACTTAACCTTCCTGGGCCCCGGTTTCTTCCTTTGAAAACCAAGGTAACAATGATGTCTGTGAGGAGAGGGGCCCCTATTCACTGGCTCTTTTTGTTTCCATTAGAGTAACACCCCTGGCTCCTCTCTGATTTCTCACTTCTCTCTTTCCCTTGGGATAATGAACGACTTAGCTGACTGCTGAGTTGGGAAGATGGAACAGAGTATAGATACGTGGCCCAGATCCTTCTGAATCCTCCTTTTGGGATCTACCCGTTTCCTGGTTGACTCACTCAGCCATACGTGTAAATTATGTTGTGGAAATGCAAGTGTTTATAATTCAAATTCAAACTTAATTCATGTTAAACATATTTTTCTAATGGTGGGGGGACAAAAGCCCAAAATAAATGCCATTGTTATTTTATTTTGCCTAATGCCTTATGGTTTTGTTTCACAGTTTACAAGAAACACTGGATATAATTACTGATTTTCCAGTTGAACAAAAGGAGGCCCAATCAACAGATGAACCTTTTTGTTTTAATTTCTAAAATGCTAATTTAATTCAAGGTCAAGGGCATAAAATAATCCTTTATAATAATGAAGCTCTCCATTTGGAATTTTCAAACAAAGAATGCCTTCGTCTACTGGAGCCTGCAAATATTATGAAGTTGCTTTGATATGGGTGAACATAATGTACTGTTTTTTTGAAAATACAATGGTGACTTAGTCAGAAGTAACATTTGGTCTTTGTTTTTCAAACAGCTGCATAACATTAGCACCCCTGAAAGTTTACAAAATTTCTTTCCCAAATAAAAATTTTCTTAGCAAGGCTATAAACCACAAGATATAGGAGGGTGAGGATCAGCAGAGTGAATGACAAAAGAAAAACCAACATAAGACCAATAGTGGCCTCTCTTTTTTAAAAAAGAAAAGATTATTTATTTATTTGGGGGGGGAAGGAAATGGTGAGACAGAATCTCAAGGAGACTCCACACTGAAGGCAGAACCCTGCACAGGGCTTGATCCCACAACCCTGAGATCATGACCTGAGCCGAAACCAAGAGTCACATGCTTAACTGACTGAGCCACCCAGGTGCCTCAAGAGTGGCCTCTCTTAAGAAGTTAGGGTCAGGAAATAGTTCCAAGGGGACCTCCTAAGACTGTTCTTCAACATTTAAAGTGATGGTACCTAATATTCTGTCAGGAAACACCACCTGATCAAGAGGTATAGATTGGGCACATTTCGACAAAATTGTGTGTGTGTGTGTGTTATTGGCATACATTTGTTTGTAATTATTAACTAGTAATTAAATTTTGGGTATTTCTAAAAAAACACAGCCACTCTGTCCATCAATTCTGGTGACAATTTTGTTTCAGAGAGTGTTTGCTAAATTCTAAAATTACCTCTGAAAGCTCTGGGCCTATTAAAGTAAGCCAAAAGAAGATGCAGAAAAGATTAAATCCTGAGTCCATTGAGGAGGGTGCCATAAAAAAAAGAAGTCAGGCTTAAGGAAAATGTAATTATTAAATCCTAGAATTTCTTTGGAGTAAAGTGGCATACTGGAGAATTCTCAAGTCAGAATTCCAGGTATCTTTCCTAGAAGTTAAGGAATGACTCCAGATCAATGTTGTTCAATTGAACTTCCTGTGATGGTAAAAACGTTATGCCTACTACAGTAGCCATATGTGGCAGTTGAGCACTTGAATTGTGGCTAGTGTGACTGAGGAACTGAACTTTTATTTCATTTAATTTCAATTAATTTAAATTTAAATTTAAACAGCCACATGTGGCTAGTGGATACTGTATTGGACAATGCAGCTCTAGATCATCACTAGTATGATATGCTTGGAAAACAGTTTCTTCTTACAAAGTCTTAGAAGTGTATCTATTTATTAATAGGACCAATGGAATATCAAGGGCCACTACTGAGGAAAATTTTAATTTTCCATGTGGTCCCAAAACTGCTCTTACTCCCTGTGATAATCTAATACATGGGTCTGACAAAAGAATGAACATGAGCCCCCAAAAATATCAAAAGCTAACATTTGTATCCCAGCAACTGTGCTAAGCACTTTACAAACTCTATTTTATTTAGTCATCACAAGCACCCATTTTACTGGTGAAAATTGAGGCACAAAGGTCTTAACTAATTTGTGGGAGATTTTACAATGCATATGTGATGGAGCCACTTTTTGAAGTGAATGTAAAGCTGTGCTCCAGTACATTCAACTATCTCAGGCTCACCATGTACCAGAATGGAGCCACTAGCGGCTTTCCTGTTTCAGTCGACTTTTCTTCTAAATTGAACTGGAACTAACACTGGGATATCAAAATGATAAAAATGATAATATTCTCAAATGCCTCCTTAACTTCATTATAGTTTATAATCAAGAGTTATAATTTTCTGTTTGAGCAAATATTGAGACATTTACCTGCCAGGTCAAGTGGAAATTGCAGCATGCTCCAGGTCCATATAACAAGGATGGCATAGACTAGGGCAGGACTATTCCTAGAATGCAGACAAAATTTTAAATTAGTAATAAAAATATCATTTTTAAAGAAATATTTTCTCTTTTTTCTCATATTTGAGTATACCCTAATAAACCTTTCAAGAGTTGTCAAAATATCTTGGTGATATATGAAATCCATGAAAAAAATCCATTCACGATTATAATGGAATAATGAAGAAGTAAAAAAAAAACTCTGAGACTTAAAATCCAACTTTCACATGGGCCAACATCTGTGTAAATTATGGCCAAGCCTCTTTGTCCCATATTGTTGTTCTTAGTTTTACAAAATCATGGAAACATTATTGGAGATAGATGCTAGGGAAAATGTTAGACTTTGACTAAGAAATTCAGAGGGCTGATTTCAAGAATTTTCAAGGAGAAAAAATAAAATTTTTTTTCTAAGATCATGAGACTCTAAATTAAAAATATATCTCAAAAGGACTACATGATGCCCCAAAATTAAAAGTTCAGCATGTAAAAGAAAACTACCTTAGGTCAGGAGAAAAAGGTGGGAAGATAAATCCAATAATAAAAAATTTACGCCACTTACTAGGATGTAAGTCAAGGAATATGACAGTTTCATTCACTATTATATTCCCAGTGCCTAGAACAGCAAATAGTAGACACTCAACAATTATTTGTGGAAGGAATTATTGAATGTACAAAAGAAGGGCCATACTTGGCAAATATACAAATATACAAATGTCATCGACCTAGGAGAATGGTCTTGAAGACTGAAGTCAGAAAGAATAGATGTTATACAAATACAAAGGATATAAAAGAAATATCAAAGTTATTTTTTTAGCAAAAATACAAAGGAAGTTAGCAATTTGAGATTAGTGGTATAATAGCAGATTTTATTGTCAACTTCTCTGTCAAGAGGAATTTTCAGATTGGAAAGGGATAGAAAGGCATCAGGGAGGAGAAGTTGAAACCAAAATAAATGAGGTGGTTGCAAGGGATATCTTTAAATGCTTCAAGTATTGAGGTCCTGAAAAATTAGATCTCAAAAACTATGAGAGAAATTTTAAATGATATTTCTAAGCCATCATTATCTTGGCAGTTAGTGGCAGAGACAAGGGTGATGACAAAATAAATAAACAAAGTCTTAATTTCCAAAATGAAGCAGAAGTGTATCTTAAAGTACAAAAGGCACATTTACTATTAATCCCTAGTTAGGTTATATAAGTGATTATTTAGAAGATTTCCTAAAGCCCTTATAGAAGACAGTAATTACTAGGAATTAGCACAGGTTACTTGGGACAATTACACTCAGCATACTAAGATTTTTTTTCTCTCTCTCTCTTCAATAGAGTTAGGATTACCAAGCAAGTAATGATATATAAATTAATATTAGACATTTGGGTTTAAATAAGGCTGGATGATTGGCCGGTGGATAGCGGTTCTCTTTTCCTCCCTGGTTGCTTGAAGCTTGGCTGCCATCATGAACAACACAGTAACTATATGGACTAGTTCATGACTAACCAACTACTTCAGCGGAAACAGGTGGTCATTGATGTTCTTCACCCCAGAAAGGCAACAGTACCTAAGACAAAAATTCGGGAAAAACTAGCCAAAATATACAAGACCACACCAGATGTCATATTTGTGTTTGGATTCAGAACCCATTTTGGTGGTGGCAAGACAACCAGCTTTGGCATGATTTATGATTCCTTGGATTATGCAAAGAAAAATGAACCCAAACACAGACTTGCGAGACATCGCCTGTATGAGAAGAAAAAGACATCAAGAAAACAGTGAAAGGAACACAAGAACAGAATGAAGACAGTCAGGGGGACTGCAAATGCCAATGTTGGCGCTGGCAAAAAGTGAGCTGGAGGTTGGACAACAGGAGTGAAGATGCTGCAGTGGCTTTATCTGTGGTGGTTGTGCAGATTTTTCATGAGAGGATCAATAAACTAAGAATGTTAATGTGAAAAAAAAATAATAAAGCTGGTGAAAAAGCCTCCCGCACTGTTCTTATTAACAAGATTAAGAAATGTTCTGGGTGTAAGCACAGTTAGGTGGATTCCTAACTGTAAATGACTCCCCAAAGGGAGCTCTCTAAGGGTTGCTGCAGGCTCTGCCCTTGATTCTATTCCACTTCACATTTCACCAATGATTTGGTTGCCACATTGATGGAAGGCTTCTCATATGCACATATGACATGGAAGTTGGATGGGAAACCATTACCCCAGAAGACACAATCAGGATTTCAAAAGATCTTGACAAGATGTAACTGGATGACCTAGAATAGGACAGAAGAGGTAGCATTTCATAGCAGCTGCCGTAAAAAAGGCTCAAGGATTTTCCCTTACTATTATCTAATTTTAAGTCCACAGTATGACATGGATTTATGATTTTCTAAAATCAAATGCAATCATAGGTCATTTTATAAGAAGTATAAAGTCTAGAATTTTAAGTAGAGATACCTAGGAAATGCAGTCTATAACTTTTTTCCATCTTTGCAATGTCAATATCTTACATAATAGATCTTCAGTAAGTGCCTGAATTTTTAAATAATTTTACCTACAGTTTCTGAGCTCATACTGTTTCAAGAAGTTTTCTAATGGTTTAACTATGATCACACTTAATCCTCATACCAATTTTACAAAATAGTTATACTTATCCCTATTTGACCAGTGAGGAAACTGAGGCATAGAGTTGTAGAAACTCTAGTTGTCCAAAGTAATGTGGTTGTAAATGTTGGAAGCAAAAGTCAGAACTAGATAGCTTGTTTCAGCATCCACCCTTTTAAACCACAGTACTATACTATTTCCATAAAGGAAGCAGAAAGTTTTAGCCCTGCTGTATTCTATAATATTCAGAATATATCAGAAATATTATGTATTGTGCTTAATGTTTTAGGAGGAAAATTTATAAAGTTTTTGGTCCAAAGGAGAGAGGCTAGGATAGAGATCTCAGAGCCATGTTATATGTGGGATAGCTCAAGAAGTTTCATATATTTAAAAGGCTATCATGTGGAAAAGGAATTAAACTTCTTTCTTGTGACTTCAGAAGTCCAATTCAGATTCAAAGAATTTTAATGGTGCCTATAAGAATGCAAATTTTATCACAATAGAGAAAAGTACTCTCTAATAATATCAACTCAAAATGGAATGAGTTGCCCTGGGGTTAGTATAGTCTCTATTAGTGAAAATTTTCAAAGAAAGTCTGGACAAAAACTTGTTGAGAAAATTCTGGAGAGGATTTTGCAACAGATGTAAAATAGATTGTTCAATAGATGGCTAATTTGAAGTTTCTTCTAATCCCAAACCTCAATAATTCTACCAAAAACTCATGTGCAATTTGTCTGCAAGGCAGCAGAAATCAGTGGTAAAGCATAAGGTCTGGTGGTAGGTTGCTAGAGTTCAAATACCAGCTCCAACCTTCACCAGAGAGCTAGGATGTGGGCCTCCAATCCCAGATTGATATTTACTGACTACATGAACATGAACAAGTAATTTCACATCTATATGCTTTAGTTTACCCCTATTCAATATGAGGATAACAATAATAATTTAATAGCTACTAGATTTTATATGATAATTATATTAAGTACATTATAAAAATATATTAAGCATATAAAGTTCTTAGAACAGCACTCAAAACAGACTAATTATGCAAATTAGGTGTTGTTTTTTATTACCATGTAACTTTGAGATTTTCTCAACTTCTCTTGCCTGCCACAGTTCAGCTTATAAAATGGTGATAATGATAGTATCTACCTCATAGTGTATTGTAAAGTCTAAATAACTTAGCACAACTAAAACCCTTATAACAGTACTTGGAGCACAGCAAGAGATGAATAACCATTACCTGGTAGTAGTAGTGGCAGCTGCAGCAACAGTAATGGTAGCAGTGGTATTTTTACTATGTGAACATATTTCTTAAATACTTTGTGTTTTAATTCTATCATTATACAAAATAAGAATAAATAACAATCCCTAGCCCTAAGTAAGCCAGATTCTAACACTACAATAATGAACATGTATCTTTTGCACATGCAAATATCTGAGCATGCACAAAACATAGGAAAATGTGAGTGTTGAGAAATATATGAGTAAATTTATCAAAAATAACTTTGGAAAAAAATGGCCAGAAAATTTTTGAGGCAGACAAATTTGTACTAAGTCAGATAGTAAAAGTTACTCGGGAAGGTTAAAAGGAAAGTAAATGAATCACCGAGCTTAAACGACAATTACTCAAAATGTGAAGGAATTTTGGAGTGAATTTATCCAACATTATCTCCACTGTGTAACTGTCTCCCCTAATTGTCTCACCCCATTTTCTCATGTGTAATGTCTTCATAAATGTCAACTGAGAAGCATGTAAGCAGACAATGGACTCTATTCATAAAGAGAAAAAAGATCTTCACAAATATATATGTGAGTATCATTTCTCTACTTGGAAAATTAGGAGGATAAAAGACTGAATTTGGTAGATCAGTGCACCAAATTTATTGGGTGTAAAGTAAAAATAAAGTCATACATTGCTAATTTGCTTAACTATTTCTTTTTGGACATGTAAATGTTCCTGTAGGTAAGAGACAATCAGTGGATAGAATTCACCTCATTTTTGTTTATTTTTTAAAAGATTTATTTATTTATTTTAGAGAGAGAGTGTGTGTGAGTACAGGGAAAGGGGCAGAGGGAGAGAGAGAGAGAAACTCAAGCAGACTCCACACTGAGTGCAGAGCCCTGACATAGGATTCAATCTCACAACCCCGAAATCATGACCTGCGCTGAAACCAAGAGTTGGAAGTTTAACTGATTGCACCACTCAGACTCCCCTAATTCACCTAGTTTTTAGAAAATCATCCAACAAACCTCTTCAGAGAAGGAAAAAAGATAGAGGAGAGAGAAAGAAAATGAGAAAATGAAGTATTAACCTACCCTAGAAGAAAAGCAAAAAGAGTTAAATGAAAAGCAAACATAGTGTAAACATAGGAAAATTCTCCTTTGTGTGGTCAAATACAGTGAGATAACAGTAATGTTAC